ATCTAACTATGGGTGGTGAACACACAATTCAATATGTATGCCTTACTGTTGAACTGTACACCTGAAACTTACTGGATTTTGTTAACCAATATCACCGTAATAAGAATAAATTTTAAAAAATAAATAAAATGAATAATGTAGTTGTTTTTATTAATGTTAGCATTGCACATCTTCATCCTTTTACTTTTAATCTATATGTGTCTTTATATTTAAAGTGTGTCTTGTACATAATAATGGAGTTCAGGACATACTACCCCAAAATGTGGCACCTTGACATATTGAATATTTTAACTTGAAAGAATATGAGAAAACAACAAAAGCAAGAAAGTCACTCTGACTTCCCTTCCACCTTCTTCCCATAAAGAGATCATAAATCTCTACTGTGAGTGGTGCCCTACCTGTACCCAGAGGAAAGGGGCATCCTTATCGCTGAGGACAAAGAGATGGCAAGAAGAATGCTAACAAACAGTACTTCCTAAGTTTCCCCAGTTTTACTTCACTTATATTCCTCAACCTGTCATATTTCTACATGACTGTACATTCTTCATCAAAGCTTGCATAAAAATACACAGGTCTGTTCCTTTGGGTCTTCATTTCCTTATGAAGGCTCCTGTGTCACAATTGACTTATATTTTTTAAATTGCATGATTTTTTCCTGTTAATCCATTTTTGTCAGTTTAGCTTTTAGATCCAGCCAAAGTTGCCAAAATGGTCAAGGAAAATTTTTCCTCCCATACAACAACATGTATTTGGATCTTGTCTTTTGATCCACTCTGAAATTTAAAATGATCATTGATATATTTGAATTAAGATCTATCATAATTTTTAGTTTCTATTTATTTCCCTTGTTCCTTTTTTCTATTTTTGTCTTCCAGTACTTCTGTCTTTTGTGGTTTTAATTCATTCCATTTTTTCTCCCTTCTCTGAATATTAGTTTACTTCTTTTAAAATTAATTTTAGTGGTTTCCATAAAGTATGCAACATGCACTTAAAATTAACCCAAGTTTGCTTTTAAATAATATTATACTACTTCATCTTATAATAAGTATATTATAAGATGGTGCAAGTACCTTATAATAACAAAATAATCCCAATTTTCCCTGCTATCCTTTATATAATTGCCATTATTTACCTTATATATAAGCTATAATCATCAAATATATTGCTTCTGTTATTATTTTAAACAAACTTATCTATTAAATCAATAAGAAAGAAAAAAATAAATTTTCACTTATTCCTTCTCTAATGCTCTTCCTTTTTTCATCTAGATCTGAATTCATGACCTATATCATTTTCCTTTTCTCCGAAGATCATTTAACATTTTTTTGTAATACAGATCTACTGGCCACAAATTCCCTCAATTTTTATTTGCCTTAAAAGTCTTTATTTCTCCTTAATTTTTAAAGGATAATTTTATAGAGTACAGAGTTCTAGGTTGGTATTTTTTTTCTCTTAATATTTTAAATATTTCATTCCTCATGGCTTCTGAGGAAATGTAAGCTGTAATATTTATCTTTGTCCCTCTATAGATAAGGTGTTGGTTTTTCTCCCTGGCTTCTTTCAAGATTTTTTCTTTATCTTTGATGTTCTGTAATTTGAAATGATATGCTTAGGTGTAGTTTTTTTCTTTTTATTATTGATTAATATAATCAAATACGTTTCAAGTGTATTATATAAAATAATTTCTCCTGAGGGTAGACCTTGTTAAGAAAAAAAGAAAATGTGGTTTATTTCAAAATCGTTACTTTTCCCCTTCTGCCGCCAGTACCTGTTGTTAGTATGGAGTGGCAACTTCTAAGCTCCTTAAATGCTGAGCAGGAAACTGTAAGTCTCTCCATTAGACTGTTATTCATTAAATACTTAAGTCTAATTAACTGGAAGATCATTTCCTGATATTTCAAGCAAATTGGTAGGAATGAGGAGGGAAAAGCTGCCAGCAGAATGTAGGAATAAGCTCATGGGATTCTGGTTAGTAGCAGTGATAGCTATGGGAACAGATAAAGGAGGGAAGGGTGGGAAGTTAAGAAGGACAAATTGGGAACTGGAGGCCCACAGATGTGGCTGAAGATAAAGGTGACAAAAATGAATTTAAAGAATAAAAAGAAACATATCTTATTGGATCTTAGGGATCTATACTACTTTGTCTTGCTGAGATGGATGATTTTAAAAATATTGTATGCTAGCTATGTTTTAATAAAAACCTTAAAAAAGAAAAAGAAAAAAATATGGGGTAGGATCTGGACAAAGGGAATACTGATGTGTGTGTGTGTGTGTGTGTGTGTGTGTGCGCACGCGCGCGTGCACGTGTGTATGTTTATGTGTATATGAATGTAGTGGAGCTACGTGTTAGAAGCACTGATAGGCAGTGGGATCTGAAAGAGAAAGTTGTTTGTATCTCTAGTGTCCAACAAAGTTTCCGGCTGCCCAATAAATCTTTGTTGGATGAATACACAAATAACTGTAGAGCTTTCTGAAAAGAACCTATATAAAAAAGTTTAAAAAATTAATTTGAAAAAAATAAAAAGCAACCTTCATCTCTTATCTATGTAAGATTCTTTAATGAAAATGCAAATATAAACAGTCAGGGATACCTGAGTGGAAACCAGAATCTTAACCTCTAGACCATATAGGAATGCATTATGCTAACAGTATTATTCATCATTCTTTGGAATTAATTCTTAATTTGCTTTAGTTCCTCAATATTTCTCAAATATCTTCGTTCCACTCCCATCCTCCTACTCTTATTCCTCCTCTTTCCTCTTCTCCTTTCTCCTACCTTTCCTCTTCCCATTCCTCCCTTTCTTCCTCTGTTCCTCATGAACCTTAATGGAAGCAGTGAGAGAGGGTAGAGAAACGTGATGATTTGAAGAAGCAGAGGGGAGATCAGCAACAAGGAGACAGTGAATTGTTGTAAAAGAGTGGTTTAAGGGAACAATTAGGCTGGTGAAGGCTGGTGGTTTTGGGGGTTAGAAGATATGTTTGAAAGCTGCCTTTACATAACGAGCACACATTACTCACATTGAATGTTTTTTTGGGGGGTAAGATGACCGATGAAATTTATTCCACTCACTCCCAACTCCTTTGGAACTACCACTATAGGAAAATCACTTAGGAGGCTATTTTAATTACGTAGGCTAGATATTCTAACAGCTGGAACAAAAAACAGCAACAGTAAGAATAGGAAGGAGCAGACAGATTGTAGAAAAGGACTAATGAGAACTGCAGGACCCTCAGCACATAACTCTGTCTAAACCACTGCACTAAGAGACTTGTCATGCTCCTAGGATGACCCCCGGCTCCCCATTGGTTCCAACCCCCATCAAAATGTTTGTCTGAGAAAGCTCAACACTGCAAGAATTTACTATTTTTTCTAATCTGATGGTAGGGTTCTGACCTACTTTTATCAGAGGATTTGGTTAAAAAAAAAGCGGGGGGGCTTACAATTGTGAATATGTATCTTTTACAACTCAGAAGTCTTTCTAAAGGACCTGAGAGTCATTTCTTTAAAATGTAATAATCAAGAACACTAGGGCCTCTGTCTCCTAGTATTTGTGAGCAGACCCTTAACTTTGATAACTGCCAGCTAGCACACACAGTTTGCTTAAATGCATTTACACTGACCAACCTTTTGTAATTTTTCACTTCTCTGACTCTACTGAGCCCTAGCTCTCCCCCTCCCTCATTGTCCCTTTAAATGTCCAGTTACCTCTGTACAAATTCAAATGGAACTCAGCTTTTTCCCCTACTGTCAATAGTTATTAAATAAAATTTGTTTCAATGCTTTAACTCAGGCAGTGTTTATCTTTGACATTAATCACGACTTAATCTCATTGTCTTGTATGGAGGGTAATGCATCTAAAGTGACTTCCTCCTGGTTTGAGACTCAGGATCTTTCACCACTCTGGGGAAACTAGAACAGGAGTTGTTTTGCAGACAGCTGATGAGGAAGAGGAAGGTGATTATGGAGTGATAGGGCTAAGAAAGCCCGTGATCAGAAAAGAATAAATTTTTCTTGAGGCATGGCAGTTGTGCTGAGAAGGGATCATATCGGAAAGCAAATGGAGAAGTCTGGGAGCAAGCAGCATCCTGTTTCTGTCCATTTTATCTTCTCTTCCCCTTCCCTCCTTCCTCTCATTTCCTTCCTTTTCTTTCTTATCAAGGAATATATACGCATGGTTTAAATATATATGTTTTACTATATATACACTATATGTATAGTATGAAAAGGCTTAAGGTGAAAAGCGACAGTCCCCTCACTTCCTATCCCCTGCCCCTCTCCAGAAGCAACCCCTTTGAACTCTTTCACCCATTTTTTCTGGTGGTCTCTATATCTAAATATAGTTAATACACACCTACTGGTAGTCCTGCAATTATCAATTTTAGACTTTATCTATTGACTTCTTACTATATGAGAATTTATTTCCCTTACTTCTAGTTATAAATGAGTGGGGCAATGAACGTTTCATAAAATCTCCCATGAACCACTAATCCCAACAATAATTTTATTGCACGCTTACTATGTGGAAGACACAGTTGTAATCACTTTTGATGATATTAACTCATATAATTACATGCTCAGTTACAGGGACTAATAATTTTTTTTAAAAGGGAGACAGACTTAAAAAACAGAAATACAAAGACAATGTCAGCCTTCCCCACCAAGAATGTTAAGAGTGAAAAACAGTGGGGGGTGGGAAGCTGGCTGTGGCGTACTGAAATTACAACTGTCTCCTTTAATTCTCCATGGTGGGTGGGTGGGACCAGAACGACCACCAGGAAAGCGTTGATCGATTGGCAGCGCCCCACCAAACCAAGACTTAGTGAGAGCCAGGGCCACGTGACGGCGACCGGCGGCACTCTGTCTTTCTCCGCGCATTCTCTATGGTATTCTTCCCAGCATCCCGCCCCTTGGGTAGCGGCAGTCACGTGAAGGGCTCCGGGTTTACGACAGGTAGCCACGTGATTCTGGCCTGCAGTCGGGTGGCTGCGGTGAGGTATCTGGGTTCCTGAAGGGCGGGCGGTTAGGTCGTAACCGCAGCAGCCGGCGGACTCTCTCGGGCGCGCAGTCTCAAGAACAAGGAGTCGGCTGAGGCGTTCACTGCTTAGTGCCTACGGCACGGGTCTGCTCTTTCTCCCACCTCCGCCTTCGTCGTCCCCACTTCTGTGCGGTGAAGTCACCTTTGGGTTTCGAGACCTTGGGGCCTGAGGCCCAAACTCGAGACGACCCTCCACCCCCACCCCCCTTTCCCTCTCACCTTCCATCTCTTCCTTTACACCACCGAATCACTTAGCCTTTGAGCTGGCCGGTTAGGCCGTGCCTTGAGGCCAAGTTTGAGGCAGTAAAGGTAACGGAGGGGGGAAGCAGCCCCCCAGTGGACAAAGGCGGAGGCAAGAATAGAACAGGCCTAAGGGCCGCAGGCCATGAGAATAGGCGGCTGAGGGGGTGAACAAGGGAGAAAAAAAGTACTGCGGCTTTAGAAGGGACTGTAAAGGACTTGTTGCACGATGGAAGACTCTGACTCTGAGAAAAAGATGGAGAAAGAGAATCTGGGGCCGAGAATGGATCCTTCCCTAGGGGAACCGGAAGGATCTCTTGGGTGGGTGAAGGGTATTATGCCAAACCTGAAGGGGGGGGGCGTTCTAACTGAAGAGAATATTGTGAATCAGAACACCCCACCTACGATAAATTACTTCAGTTTACCAGTAAATTTGATTAGTATCATGTTTTTTTGGTGAGATGATAAGCTGGAAAGAGGACTGGTTGCTAATTGGACCGGAATAACCCCTGGGATGGGACAAGACAGGCCTGATACCACTTCTGGGAGGGTATTCTAATTGAAACTGTTCTGAGTTGCTTTGAATTATCACTTGAGGAGATTTGACATCATGTCGAGGTTAAGAAGACTAGGTAGAAAGTTGGCATTTCCTAGGCAGAGATCAGTGGTTTGAGAGTGCTTTCAGTGCCAATGTGTACCTGAAATTGAGTCTTGTATTTTATATGCTTTGTACAAGTAATAAATGAAATATGACTTGGAAAGAAAACTTAAGGACTAAAGATACTCCCAGATTTTAAAATTAGGAGGCTGTTCAAATATTAAAATATTGTTCGATTTATGAAGGCACTTGTATATATTGCTTTGATAATTTTTTAAGATGATGAAAAATTAAATCTTGAATTTTAATGGCTTATTTATATTCCTAAATAAATCTTCCTATAAGCTATCACTTGAGCACATAATTAGGGGATAGGGAGCATAAAACAGTTTTATAATTTCTGTTTTATAATTTAGGAAAATGAGGGCCACATACAGTTGTACTCAGCTGTTGTGCTAAACATGCTCTTTTGTATCTCCACATTTATTTGTATTTAATTTCAATATCTAAGGCACTTGGATCATGCAAACTCTGTCTCGGTTTATATCTGCAGGTGGGTGCTACCAAATACAGCCATGAAGAAAAAGGTAAGACGTGTTAGGTACATCAAAAATATGAAGGCAAAGGTAAGAAGTTACTATTCAGAAAATATATTTGTGGTGTATATATTACCATCTTTCTTAGACTGTGGCAGGAACCTTCTAGTGTTCTCTCCGACTCCTGTCCCCTTCTTTGCTATTAGGTTTAATTTTTCTAATATATAAATCTAATTGGGTCACTCACATACTAAAGAACTTTTTGTAACTTTTCAGAGCCCACAGAATAAAATATAAATGACTTCATTGCTTAGAATGCCCTTTAAAAATTTATTCCAGACTAAATCATCTGCCACACCTATGCACCTTATTGTAGCCATACAGAATTTGTTTTTCTCAAAATTTATAAATTAATTTGCATTTTGTGTAAGCCATACACACACACTACACAGGCCTCTGCTTGCACATTTATGTTGAACCCAATTCAAATGTTGCCACTATAAGTCATATGTGAGTTCACCAGATGGAATTGAACACTCCTTCCCTTGTACTCCTATGGTACCCATCATGGAATTTGGGCAAAATCAAGAAGAGTGCAGCTCTGGAGCAAATTTCTGAACCTTTTGGGCTTTTAGTTTTTTTCATTTGTAAAATGATGATAATATTACCTATCTTGTAGGGTTGTTAGGAAGTTTAAATGAGCAAATAACATGTAGAGCACTTAAATTAGTATCTAACACAGTTAACCTTGGTAAGTCTTTCATAAGCAATTGAGGTAAGATTTCATAAATTAAAAAAAAAAAAAGAAATGTACCATATTTAGCCTTAACTTCATCTAATAAGTCACTTATATAAAAAATTCCAGTTTGCTAAGGGAATGTTCTTAATGAGCCTGTCTAAAGTTGCTGTCAACAAGGATGTCTAAAAATACCTGACATTTCTGCATGATTAAGAATAAAAACAAAACTATTTTGTTACAATTTTTGACTGGCTAGTCAGTAACATTTCTTTAGTGAGATAAAGTTAAATATCTAAATAGCCAGATTAAAATGAGCCGAGTGTAATATATTTCCATTAATACTCCTTATATTTGTAATTAGAAATTTTTATAAAATGTTTTGGGACTAAAGATAGACTATCTACCCCCTTCATTAGAAAAGCAAGACAATTGGAAATATATTTCATAAATTTCAAGTTGAAAAGACTCTTAAAAGTTGCTTTACACAATTTCTTCCGAGTGCAAGAATCTGTAGAATCTTTGTTAAATGCTGACATTGACAGGAAGGCTATTCACCTTCATAAGACCATTCTTTCCATTGGAAAAGTCTCATTGTTAAAATTTTGCTTGTTTTATATCTTCGTTTTGATAGCTTGTTCATTCTTTTAATGAACATATTTTGAGCATCTGTTGTATGTTAGCCTCTGGAATTACAGAAGAGACTCTTTCTGCTATTCAGAATCTCAGAGTCTTGTGAGAGACAGACCAGAAAAATGGATAACTGCAATGCATTATGGTCTTTACTATACAGTTGTCATGAGATGACAGAGGTGGGACGCACCTAAGCCAGCCTAGGGCATTGGGGTCAGAGAAGCTTTTTGAGGAGATGATTACTGAACCAGGTTTTGAAGGATGAGTGGAACTTAACTGAAGGGAGAAAAGGGAATTGCAAGTTACTGGCAGAGAGTACAATGTGAAACAGACATAGAGCAGAGTTCCTTGGAGATCTTGGAGCAATCAAAGGGACTACAGGCATTTCAGTTCAGTGTGGCTGGATTCTACAAGTTCCAGGCCAAGAGGGTCAGAAGATGAGTGCAGAAGAGTAGATAAGGCATATCAAGGAGGATGTTGTATGTAGTTTTAAAAAAAGCCCCCATCCTACCACACACACACATATTGTTAGACTCATGATTCTCTTGGTGCTGTGAGTGGGGGAGGAGAGGGAAGCATCTGTTATTAAACAGCTAGAGTTTTGCAGCCAATTGAAAAAAAATAAAGACTTGATCCTGTAGGCCATAGGACACTTGAACAGAAAAAGAGACAGAGTAATTAATGGAACACAATCATGAAGGTAAATAGAAGGGAGAAGATAAAGAGCAGAGGTGGAAAGGTTGATGTTGAACAGGAATACAAACTTTCAGTTATTCTGAAAACCCTTGCCAGGTAGTTCAGTGCATAAAATATTAGATTATGAGAGATCAGGGTTCAATTTCCTCTCAAGTTGGTCTATTTCTCTAATATAGTTCTGAATATATGATAGTGTATATTAATAGCATAATGAATTCGCTGCAGTTCTGTCACTAAGAGGATGTGTGACTCATGCATGACAGGTAAGTGCCTGGCCCCTGGAATTCTAGGTATCTCTGTCTTCACAGTTGGTTAGGGAGCTTGTTAGTTATTAGTATCTGTACCAGGTTGTTGGTACTGTCATTTCAGTAAAATATCAAGTATGGGAGAGAAATAGATCCCTTTAGACTTAATTGGCTCTAGATTGCTAACTTCTTTTCATTCTTTTTTTTCCACTTTGTCCTTAGGTGCTCTTGATGGGTAAAAGTGGGTCTGGTAAGACCAGCATGAGGTCTATTATCTTTGCAAATTATATTGCCAGAGACACACGTCGACTTGGTGCAACAAGTAAGATGTTTTATCTTATCGTAAAGTCAGGTGATCTTAACTATTAATAATCTGCATAACACACTTGGTTGCAGTAACTTGGGGATGCAGAGGTTGAAAGATTTGTTTTGGAGCATGTTTTCCCTTTTTTTGCATTTCTTCTCAAGAGTTGTATGGCCTAATTCTGGTAACTATTGCTCGCTTTCTTGGGGGGTTCTTTCTAGGTTGCTTACCAATTGGGATGCCCTTGTCCAACTTCTTTTGTTACCCTGTTCTTTCTTAAACAAGCATAGGGACCTTTTTGTTTATTTGTGTTTTTGGGGGGTGTTTTTAATTGTTATATAAAGCAAATTAATTGATAGGTATTTACAATCATAACAATAAAATCCCCTAAGATTCTTTTTTAAGCAGTAGTTAGTCCTAGTCTTCATTAAAAAGTAAATTGCTGGGAGGCGGGTGGTGGTTGTGAGAGGGAGATTAACCTGATCTGTATGTACTCTGCTGCTTCTCTTCCTGGACACACATAGATGTTCTCACTGGAGTTCTAGCTTTGACCTGAGAAATGTTTCATTGCCCTTTATGGTTTGAATGCTAAATCAGGCTTCTTAGTATAGGCTAGCTGGGCAGCCAGTGGATCTATGCTCCTGGAAGACTCCTTTTGTCTCTAGGATATTATGCCATTTCATTTTGCAGCATCTAAACATTTCTGGATTCTGCCTTGGTTCTTGACCTTTTAGATGACTTTCATCAGAGGTACCCTACTTGATCTGGGTTTCTAGCATCTTGAATGCTTTTAGGGACAAGTCACCCACCATTTCATGAGGTATCTCACTCTGGTTTTAAGAACAACAAACATTTTTAAAACCCGTATGTTCCAGATGCTGGGATACAAAGGAGAAGGAAACCTCATTTCTGTTCTTAAAGTACTGGGAATGTAGTATATACTCTCATAATTGGGGTAGCACTAATGGTTAGAAATCTATTTCTTAGTTACAGCCCTGAATCTATTTCCCTTTGTTTCTGTTAGCTGGTCCCCTTTCTGTTCTCTTGAGTATGATTAATATCTCAGTCTATCCTAGCTATCTCTTGTCTCCCAAATCTTATCTTCCTTCAACATCTCCAATTTCTCCATCTATTCCTCATTTGACGTAATTTTGAAGAATTTTTAAGGATTTGTTTAAACACAACTATATTTTTCTTAAAGCCCTGAGACTTGAATACCAGTGTGGTCTGATCAAGGCAGAGTAGGACTATTATATCTCTTGTTCTGGGCATCACGCTGTTGTTAGCACAGTCTAGGCCCTACTCTACTTTTGTGGAGTGGCCTTCATTATACTGAGTCATACCAAAAACATCTAATTTCTTTTAACACATATTGTTATTAAAACATATTTTCTGTCTGATTGTTGTGCAGTTAATATTTTGAACCAAGAATAAATGCTTATCTCTATTAAATTATTCAGTTTTGTTTGTTTTAGCTCATGATATGTTCCTATACCCAATGTTTGTTACTGTTAAGTCCAAAATAAGTCACTATCTCATTGGGCCTCAGTTTCCTTATCTGTAGGAAAGAGGTTGGATTCTATTTTTATTTTAGCTATTCTCTTATCTGATATGTTACCTGTTCTTCCTAGCTTCATGCAGTTTATACATTGGATAGGCATCTCATCTAGTTTTCATCTAAGTAGTTCATCACAATTTTTGGTCGGGACAGGGTCCTTTGGCCTATTATGCCTCAAGAGGCTTCCTTCTAGAAATTATCTGTCCAAACTTCTCCCTGTCTCAGTTTGCTAGATACTATTTTTTCTATTCTTCCAAGTTAAATATCCAGACTTAATAATCAGTTGGTTTTAGTATATTAGAGAAAGCTAATGTTGTATAATCTTTTATTTTTTAGTCTTTATATTAACTTCATTTTAATAGATGTAGAAAATATGACCTAGAAGTTAAGCTGAATCAACTTGTAAGTGTTAGAGATGGAATGCCAATCTTTGTTCTTGTTCTATTCATTATGCTACAGTTACAATTCCTAGCAGACTTCTTTCTTTTTATATTTTAAATTCTGCACATTTTATCAAAGCACCTTTTTCTAGTCCAATTAATATTTTTGTTTTCAGCTAATCAGCAGAGTTGATATACTGCCCTAAGTCTAGTAAATAGTCTTGCAACCCAAATTTCAGGACTATTCAAGCTACTTAAAATAGTTTTGAAATAACCTAACAGCATCATTAGAAAGTTACGAACAGAATGTTGTGAATTATATGACCTCTATACATTGAAGCAGGTCATTTATTCAACAAGTGCTTTTCTGGAGCTTCCTGTATGCTTGGCACTGTGAATGGGACAGGGCTCTTGCCCTTAAGGATATCTCAAATGGGACCTTTATTGATATTACTTTGTTAGCAATTACTGTATTTCCTGAAAGGTAGTAAAAGTATACTTTAAAATATTATGTTGGCCTTAATACTTAGTGTATCATTAGCTAGTTTGCATTGCTAAAGAAAGGTCTGGGTTCTACTGCTTAACTTATAGACTAATTAAAATACATATAGTACATTGATTTTTACTTGCTATTTCTTTTTACACGGTGGCTGATTTTCTTTAAAAGTAGTAAAAGAGTACTTCTTTGAAAATACTACATCACTTTTAATGTTTAGTATTTTTCTAGATGGTCATTGCTGAAAAAGTCCAGTTTTATTTTGTTAAACTTAGATCCTACTTTGTTTTGAAATTTAAAGTAAGGATACAGAATAGTGATATAATTAATTTATTAGGGGGCTGTTAAAATGTTCGTTGGAATAGTAAACTTATCAGTGAAAATGATTATGAAGTATTTTAGTATAAAACACTGTTGATGGCTCTGAGATTTCCTACCTTCTCAAAATTCTCTGTTCCCTTGGCTTTTATTTAATGCTTTATTACCCTGGTTTTCTTCCTTTATCTTTAACCATCCCTCCTCCCTTTTTAAAAGTATATTTTCTTCTTTCTGCCCCATAAGTGTATGTGATTTCCCAAAGCTCTGTTCTTGATTCTTTTCAGTTGCTCTTACGACAGCATGACAGGAAGACTAAGAGAGTCAGAGGGCTCTATAGGAGACATAAGGCTAAAGAGAGGCAGAAAGCGGGGGTTCGATTATAAAGTGCCTTATAAGCCATGTCAAGTAGTTTGAATTGAGGGTAGAGGCAGCCCCTAGAGTTTTAAACAGAAAAGTAACACAGTCAGATTTAATTTTTATTTTTCAACTTTAATTACAAGAGTAGTACTTGTGAAAAATTCAGACAGTCTGAATTAGTGTAGAAAGTCTATTCATTCTCTTAATCTCAGGCCTCATTCTTAGGGACAACCACCATTAGTAGTTATCTGTCTGGCCTTTTTTTTTTTTTTTTTCTGGGTGTATATAATCATATCTATACAGACTTTTTTTCTTCTTAAAGAAAAAGGAATAAAAATCTGCTTTTTAGAGAGGTCATTATATCTGTAATATGGAGGATGGATTGGAGGGAAGCAAGGGTAGAAACAGATTGAGAAATTAGGAAATTATTTTAGTAGACCAGGTCAGAAATGATGAAGGCTTAACTTGGGTTAGGGTGGTGATTGTAGATATGGTAAGAAGCAAGTGGATTTGGGAGATATTTAGGAAGTAGAGTCAATAGGACTTGCTGATAGTTTGAGGGGGCATGGTGGGGGAAAGTGGACTCAAATATGAATCTAAGTTTTGGCTTAGGCAACTGGTTAAATTCATCAAGATGGAGAAGACTAAAAGAGGAATAGATTTTGTGGGAAGTATGGGAAGATGATGAGTTTATATTTGGATACATTGAGTTTGGGATACTAATGGTTTATTCAAGTGAAGATGTCACGTATATGGTTCAGAAAGGGAGGAGAGAAGTCTGTATTAGAGATACATATTTATTACTTATCAGTGTCCAAATGGTAAATAAAGTAATATGAATAGATTAGCTTGTCTGGGAGAAGAACACAGAAAGAATAGGTAGCCAAAGATGGAATCCTGAAGAACTCCCAACATTTAAGGGACAGAAAGAAGAACAGGAGCCTGTGAAGGAAGATCTGCCAGAAAAATCGTAGGTGTGATATCAGAGGCCAAGAGAAGAGAATATTTTGAGAAGAAAGTAGTCAACAGTGTCATGCTGCAGAAAGTAAGATAAGGACTACAAAGTCCACTGGATTTGGCAGTGGGGGCATTGGTCAATTAATGAGAACAACTATCTATGATATGGTTATAGAAACCAGATATCTATCCCATGTGCTCCATATCTAAACAGTCACTGAATCCTGTCACTTCTTTTGTTATTGTCTTTCCCTTTCTCAGTAGCACTTCTTTCCATTTTTTTTTAGTACTAGACCGTTTACATAGTCTTCAAATTAATAGCAGTTTGAGCACCTACTCTCTCGTAGACTCTGTTGGAAATACAAAGACATGTAAGATATGATTCCTTTTCCAAGGAGGGGGAAGTAAAGGGGAGAAGGGAAGTAGTTTGAGCACCTACTATGTGCCAGGCACTTTATCTATAACTCCTTTAATCTTCACAGTAATTCTGTGAGGTCAATACTATGCCTCCTACCTTTTTTTTAATAGAAGAGCAAACTAATACTTAACAGTTAAGTGATTTGTTCAAGGTCACAAAGAGAGGTAAAGCTGGTATTTGAACTAAGGACTGTTTGACTCCAGTGCCCATTTTTAAAAACAGTGCCGCTTCTGATCTAGTTTATGAGGAGTTAAAATTGCACAAAAGTTAGATGACAGTCAGTTTAAGCAACGGCTTTGAGATAGTCATATATGAAGCACCACTGTGTGATTTATGACTGTCACATAAATTGTAAAGATGATAATTGCTAGACTTTGAGAAATTTCCAGGATAAGAATTTTTATTTTTCCTCTTTGTGAGTTTTAGTGCCTGGCAGAGAGTAGATGCTTAATAAATGTTTGAATGAATTCAGAGGGAATGAAGACGGTAAGTGGGGGTGGCCAGGTAGGGCTTTTAGAGGAGATGGGATTCAAGTTGGGTCTTAAAAGATGAATCTAACTTTGAAAGAAAGGTGGGAAGGACTTTTTAGGCAGATGGATAGAATAAGCAAAGTATATGGTGGGGAGGGAAGTGTAAGGCAGAGGTCGCAAACAGGCAGCCTATATGTTGGATAAGGCCCGTAGATGTGTTTTATTTGGCCTGTGTGATGTTTTTAGAAAAATTGGAATTAGTCATCAATAGGTAAAAGTTTCCACAAAAATCTGGATTTCCCACTATATTGAAAAATTTAAAGATCTGGTAACCCCGAACCCATGTTCCTGTATGGCAAATAAGCTAGAGCTGAGTACCTGCCACTCACTCCATCGTCCCCTTGGGTAGATGTTTACTCACCATAAATGACCAGCTTTGCTTTTATACGTTTACTGGCCTGGCCCCTATTAGCAAGTTTGCGACCCCTGATGTAAGATATGTTGGGTGTTGGGGAGGTAGTGGGATTTGGGAGGACTATGAAAAAACCAAATTGGACTGGAGCAAAAGACATTATTATGTAACTCATTGGGGAATATAAAGGTAGATTGGAAGCTAAATTCTGAAGGACTTCGAATGTCCTCCTATAGTCATGAAGGAGTCATTGAAAGTTTTTTGAATGGGGAGTGACATGTTCAAAGTAGTGTTAAGAAGATGAACCTGGCAGTAGCTTATAGAATGAAATAGAGGGAGTAAGGCTTCTTGGTGGAAAGTAATTATGGAGCTATTGTATTTGTGTAGACTTGAGAAGGTACAGGCCTTCCTTAATGTTAGTGGCAGGTTGTAAAACAAGGAGTGGAATTGAGAGAGATTACAAAGGAATAGCAATAATTGAATGTGGACAGAGGAGTCAAAAATGACCCCCATCCCAACTGGAAATTGGTAGGGTCAGTAACCAAAATAAGGAAATCAGTAGAGTGAGTATGGTGATGTTGTATGTTCATTTTGTATTTTTTTTTAATTTTTTTTTTGTGTGTGTGGAGGGCATTGGTAGGGGCAAGTGGGTCAGGGAACTGTTAAATGGTATATGTCTCTGTCTTCCATGTTGAAATTTTAACATTAGTATCATAATTGGAGATTGTTTCTGCTCTAAGCACTAAACTACTAAAAAGTAAAATGACTTACATGAGAGCTAGTTCTATAGCTCAGGGTAGTTTAGGTGCCCACCTTGCCACTAAACCACACTACTAAGCTGTAAATCACCTTCTTGTTGTGGCTTTGAGCATTTCACTCCACTTTGGTCCTTCTAAATTCCATGGGTTAGTGCTTTGCTTATTTTGAATTTCACTTCACATGCTACAATTACTAGATTTGTTATATTTGTTTTCTAGTTGATGTAGAACATTCTCATGTTCGATTTCTGGGAAACCTGGTATTGAACCTGTGGGACTGCGGTGGGTAAGTACCATCTGCTTACTTGTTTGTAAGGCCAGTGACAGTGCTGACATCTAGTATAATCAGCATGGAGACTACACTAGAGTAACTATCATTTGTAATAGATGCATTGGATAGAAATTACTTCAAAATTGGCACTCGATTAAATAAAGATGTCTGACTTTTATGTAATTGTGAAAATGCCCTTTGTATGTGACATGTTTAAGCAGCAGTAACACAAGCTGTATTTAAGTATCTGTAATATGAGATATATTATCCTCCTCTTTTGCAAGCGAAGAAATTAGGTTTCCATCTCAGGCCATCTGACATCAGTGCAGAGCTCTTAGCTATCAGACCATACCACCTCATTCTTTATTTCAGTAATTATCTCCAGGCACTCTTGAGTACTGTGGAACAGACCTGAATACATATCCTTCAGCTGAGTGACCCAATGTTGAAGGAGCAGGAGATAGTTTTCCTCTCACAACCAAGGCAATTCTGCAGTATCCCAATGCAAATGCACAATACCTGTGCTTGTATGCAGGTATTGCTACCTACCCCATGACCATTTTTATCTCTGTGCTTAGTGGCAGCATGTAGTGGTTAGGAGTCTAGGCTGCAGAGTTACATTTGGGTTTGTATTTCAGTTCTGTTAGTTAATCATTTAAAGTCTCTGATCCATACTTTCTTCACCTGTACAATAGGGATAATGGTGGTGCCAACTCATCGGGTTGTTTTGATGATTAAGTAAGATAATATATATAAAATGCATAGCAAAATGCCTCACAAAATAATAATTATTGTTAGCTCAGTGTTTCCTAGCTCCTAGCATAGAGCCAGCCATGGAATAGGTGCTCAGTGAATATTTGTTGAAAGAAAAATGAAATAACCAAATATTCTATATGAAAATGTCTCCCTTATTGCTAGCAGATGGAGTAAAAGGGGCCAAATGTACGGTAATGTGTAACAGATTAGACTTTGCATGGTGAACACACAATGCGATATACAGATGATGTATATTGGCCCCCTTTACTCTTTTCTGCCTCCCTTTGCCCCCTTTTCCCTCTGGTAACCACTGTACTGTTGTCTGTGTCTGTGAGTTTTTGTTTGTTAGTTTGTTTTGTTCATTTGTTGTTTTCAGTTTTGTATCCTTCATATGAATGAAATCATATGGTTCTCTACTTTTTCCATCTGACTTATTTCGCTTAGCATGATATTCTCAAAATTTTTTTTTTCTACAACAAAACTCTACTGTTTTCTGCTAGGCAGCTGGTAATTGAGAACTATTGGGAAACAGCAAACAGCCTAAGGAGCAGAGAGCAACATTCTGCTAAAAAGTTATCTTGGAGTCATTTTCATATAGTTTATACTGTTTGACTGGTTATTCATTCAGTAAATATTCATTGGGCACCTATTCTATGGCAGGCTCTGTGCTAAAAGCTGGGAAACAATGGCAAACAGTAACAAACATATTCCTTGCCTTCGTAGAACTCGTCTAGGGAAGTGAATGTCATTAATTAGAATCTCACACAAATGTGTAATATCACACTTGTAAGTGTTCAAAAGAAGAACAGTGTATTGGTATAGGGCCTATGGTGCCTGGAGTTTTCCAAGTCTGGGAGGCCTGGGATGGTTTCCGTGAGGAAATATGGATTGAACTGAAATCTAAAGGGACAAGTAGGAGTTAATTAGATATAAAGGTAGGGGGATAGCATGTGTAAAGGACTCTTGGTGAATAGACCATGGGACACTGGAACTGAGGGAAGGTCAAAGTGTATTTAGAGCACAAGGAGAGGGGTGTAGGTTCTTACAAGGTGTCACTCAAGAGTAAGTTGAGGCCAGACTGATTTGCTATTATTTGCCCTTTAATTTGAAGCCTTAAGGTTATCTTTCACATCAATTAAGCCAACAAAAATAGATCATAAGTAGGAGTGACTAAGTGAGGACTTGCTTACTACGTAGATCTTTTTTTTTCCTACTAGACAGGACACCTTCATGGAAAATTATTTCACTAGCCAACGAGACAACATCTTCCGAAATGTGGAGGTTTTGATTTATGTCTTTGATGTGGAGAGCCGTGAACTGGAAAAGGACATGCACTATTACCAATCATGCCTGGAGGCCATTCTGCAAAACTCCCCAGATGCAAAAATCTTTTGCTTGGTGCACAAAATGGATCTGGTACAGGAGGATCAACGGGACCTGGTAAGAGACAGAAAGTGCTGCTGCAAATGGTAGATGTGCTTTGCAAACTTCTTTTGTAGAAGTATATATATATTTATGTCATTCTTAATTCTGGAAAAAAAATCTTCATATAAGCTTTCAGAATAAAGTTCTGACATTTGTTTTTTTTAAAAACAATCAAACAAATTATCCATGATAAGGGAAAGATAGTATTCGTTTAGCAAATAATTTTCACATTTAGATAAGAAACCTGACTATGTGATAATTAATAAGCAGCCTTTATATATTTTAAAAATATGTTTGCCACCCCTGTTTTACTGTCCTTCAGAGTGGACAGTTACTGTCAAGACTAAGAGACCCCCCCCAAGAGTGAGTTGAAGAAAGGCGACAGCTGTCTTTAGGTTGACTTAGGAAACTGGAATGCAGCAATTCAAGTGCCAATCACACTGTGTTTGACAGAATGCCAGGTCCCTCTTTATGGTACCGATATGGTATATTTCTCTTCTTTTCTAGCATGGGCGTTAGTACACATAAATTTGAACCAGAGAAGACACACTAAAAAGGGCAAACTTCTAGTTAGCTATGAGGCCCCAAAATTGTCAAGTCACACATACAGTCTAGCTTTAGTTTGCTCAATATAAAATAAGAGGATTGGATTCTAAGCTGAAATAGAAGATGCTCTATTTCCAAGGGTAAAGCTGAAGAAATAGTTTTAAAATATGCTGGTGATATAGAAGAATATAGTTCCTCTTTAATTTGGAGCCTAGGAGCCTAAGCACACCCTTTATTTAACTAATGGATTTTGTTTTTAGTAACTGGTCTGGAATACTTTTTTTTTTTCCTGTAACTAGTTATAGGATTGCCTCCAAGTTTCCAGTGTTTGGGTATGTTTTGGTGTTTCTAGGTTAGCTTACAGGCTTTCAAAAACTACTTGACAGAGTTTCGTATTTGGCTCTGAAAACTACTTTGAGTAACTAATCTTTTTATTTCCTTCTCCCTTTCCCTCTCTAAGTATTAATTCTGTTTTAGTTCAGCAGAAAATCCTATATGTGGGTTGGGTCTTGAGATTATGAGGGCTTTATTATTGTTTTTCTTGCCGTTTTCAGTTTCGTTTCCTGTAAAAATCACTTCATTTCATGGTCCAATTTGTAATAGAAAAACCTAGAGCATTCCAACAGATGAGCTCTTTATGATTTTTTTAATTACTTCTAATATTTAGCAATCGACTTACTACTTGCTGAATACTTATATAAATATCCCAGAAGATACATAAATGTTCTCCGTGGGATTTTAAGCTTAATTAAGAAAAGTATACTCTGTTTTATTAAAGAAGTTTTGAAGTAAAAATGGCTAGTGTGCTTCCCTAAATATCAGTTTCAAGCAAGATAGATGTTTCCCTGTGTGTATGTGTGTATTAGTCAGGGTTCATTAAAGAAACAGAACCAGTAAGTGCGTGCATGTGTGCATGTGCACATATGTGTTTGTGTGTGTGGATGGATGGATGGATGGATGGATAATGGATAGAGAGGTAGATAGGTAGATAGAGGCAGGCAGGCAGGAAGGCAAGGGAGGGGCATAGAGTGAGATCGATTGATTTTAAGGAATTAACTCATACTAATGTGGAGGCTGGCAAGTCTGAAATCTGCAGAGCAGGCCTATAGGCTGGAGATACAGGAAAGAGTAGATGTTGCAGCTAAAGTCAGAAGACAGTCTGGAGGCAGAATTCCCTCTTTTTGGGAGTGGTGGTCTTTCCCTCTTCAGACCTTCAACTGATTACATGAAGCCCACCCACATAATGGAAGGGAATCTGCTTTAAGTTTACTGATTTAAATATTACTCTTAACTAGACAAACCTTAACAGCAGCATCTAAACTGGTGTTTGACCAAATGTCTGGTACCATGCCCTAGCCAAGTTGATACATAAAATTAACCATCACAGTGTATACATGCACTTACTACAGATTCACCCAGTCATGGAAAATAGCTGTGTGTGTGTGTGTGTGTGTATGTAATATTTGTATAAATAGATATTTTTCCATATGTATGTGGGCACACATACATAGATACATATCCAAGATGAAAATATATTTGTGTGGGGGTGTTGTATAGCCAAATAAATACAGTTCATACAGAAATAATATATACAAGTGTATGCACATATGTATTTGCAAGAGAAAGATATCTACAAAGGTATTTTGATGTACAAAATTTTGATACGGGATAGCTATCTTAAAATTGCCCAGATTGGGTGATTTGGAATGTTAGATGTGTTTTTTTTAAGACTCCTATATACGGTAAATTTTATTTTTCAACATAGTACTCTTAGTACTCAGCACAAGCAGCATGGGCCTAAGGAATTCTAGTAGCTGTTGCACTTTTAGACCTGACCTGAAAATATTTCTGCCATCCTAGTTTCTGAAGTAATGTATACACTGAAAAATTCCTTTGAGGAAATAGGAAATGTTTTTGTTTAAAATATACTGAAAATAATTACATCTCAGATTTTGCAAAGGAAGAGGAGAGCTATATATTCTGATCAGTATGTTGGGCTTTTTAATTCAGATTTTTAAAGAGCGAGAAGAAGATCTGAGGCGTTTGTCTCGCCCATTGGAATGTTCTTGTTTCCGAACATCTATCTGGGATGAAACTCTCTATAAGGTGTGTATATTTCTCTGAGTTTTCTCATTTTAAGAGCATGAAAAAAAGCTAGAAAGATACTATCAAAACTAAAAGATTTTAAACTCTATCATAGCCATATGAATGTGTTGAACTAAAAAAAATAATCTATAATAAATTATTTGAAAAATTGTCAAAATTAACCTTAAGAGATTTTGGTTTTGATCTTAGATTGGGTCGACATACCTACCAAACCACACAGAATTCACCAGTTTGGTCACAATTAATTTGATACTGATCTTCATGACAGCTGAGGTTTCACTGGCCATCTTCCATTTTGACCTGTTGTGGTCTCAATGCTGATCGGAGCTGTGTCTAATATTCAGGTACCGCTACAGGATATACACCAGTCTACTTTAGTTTGATGGCAATAGAAGAACAATATTTAGGGGAGAGATTGGAGGAGGGAATCTTAGAATGAAATATGTTATGCCTAGTATTTAGTAGCTTCAACTTTCATGTCAGATGGAAACTAGCATTGCTGGAGTGGATACCACACTGTTTGCAGTAGTTGTAGAGGTTACAACAATAGCTGTGTTATAGATGAAGTCGAAGTTACCTTATCAGCACATAGGCTCCTTATCTTGCTTCCTCCCTTTCTCCTACTGATCTAGTGATTTGAAAGACAGGCTCCTTTTGGGTCCTCCTGTGGTCAGACATTTCCTTCAAACTGCTTCTGGTATTCATTGACAAGTCTGACTCTGGGTGGAAAAGAATCCTTCTCTGTCACAGCCTCAGTATCAACTGCATCTGACAAGTATCTACAACCAGAAGCACAGAAACCTGATTTGCCAAGGAGAAAAAGACATTGGACTTTAAAAATAACACTTAATTTATTTTTTTAACTGATTCATTTTTTCCCTAATATTATGTTGACCCAGCCTCACTCTAATAACAGATCATTTTTGAGATACCTGTCTAGGAAATACTGTTCTAGATTAATTTGGGCTGAATTTCTCTCAAAGCCTTATTCCCATAGAACAGGTAACCGTGAATAAGGATGGACATGACGCACTGATAAGAACCAACTGCGATATGAAGGATGGCAGTACATAACATGACCAAAGACAATTGGCTAATCACAACACTGCTGTGAGTGACAATGTCTCTGCTGTGGTTAGCTTTGGTGCCTTCTCCAAGGTAAATTCAGCAGTGACATTAACACCGACCTGAGAACTTGGAACCCCAAGCCCAAGTAATAAAACTAATCGGAACAGAGATATGGCACTACTATCTCCTACATAAATGTTGTATAGAGCTAACTTAAATTGTTATATACGTTTTATTCTACAAGCACTCATTACATATCTACTTGATGCTGTTAGATGCAGAGATGACCAAGACTAGGTTCCGACCCTCTAGAAGGAGAGAGAAGAACATTCATTATACACCTTTCCAGACAAATTAGAGTGAGATTGGAGGAAGTATTATAATGGAAATCCAAATAAAAGAGCCTGAAGAGAGGGAGGGTCTGGTTAATTTCTACTCCTTACATTAGTCCTACTCCTCTAGATGAAGTCAATTTTAAGCAAACATACAGTATACCATTTTTAATTCAATTTGATCAATGATTTATACAGCTGAAAATAAGCCTTTAGAAATGATAATGCCACAAAATTAAATCTTCGATATATGTTAAATATAAGATTATTAGGTTCTGCTCTTTAGAGCAATCTGTACAATTGGACTTAAATATTTGTTGAATGACTGAATTAGCTTTTTAGCCCAGTAGGTCAGAGTTTTCAACTTTTCCTAAGACAACATGATGGAATTAAATAATTTTTATTTTTAATTATCAGTGGAAGGAAGTTTCTCCAGCATTTTACAAAAGTGTTTGAAATTTAAAAAAAAAACAAAAACAACTGAAGGATGAAAATCAAATGTTTTCTCATTTTATTTTTATGTCATATTCTAAGTATTTGTGACTCAGTTATCACCATATTTTTCTGTCTATATATTATAGTGTACTTAATGCATTTGCAAAGAAAGGTCTGAGACAGGCTACCTGTTAGTAATATTATACCATACTTCTATTCTGTTAGGCTTGGTCCAGCATTGTTTATCAGCTGATACCCAATGTTCAACAGCTAGAAAGGAACCTAAGGAATTTTGCTGAAATTATTGAGGCTGATGAAGTGCTTCTATTTGAGAGAGCTACTTTTCTGGTGAGAACTGTCTGCTTTGCAGATGTACTTCCGCTTACCTTCTTTTATTCAGCAATAGAGAACAACATGTTGCCACTTTCAGGAAGAACCTTTTTCTCTTTTGTCTCATTACTTTAGCATGCATAACCTTATTTATAAAATAGTGTCAGAATGTGACCTGAAAGAAGTCTTTTGGTTTATAGCTCTTTAGTAGTTGGTAAAACTTAGATTTTTGCAGATGTTCCTTACTACACAGTTTAGAATATTTCTGCTAATCATTATACATTTGTGTTAAAGTATCTCTACTCCCTATTTAATTATGAAATGAGAGTCATTGCGCTTTTGAAGAAATTCATATCTCACCCCTTTCTCCAAAAGACAGATTTGAAAATTTAACATGTATGTGGTGTAATGGTCAACTCAGTGACATAGCTTAAGAGTTCCGATAGAAGGGGAAAGAGGCATATTGGTATTTAATATTTTTATAAATTCAACTTAACTATATTAGAGCCTACTGTATGTATGGCCTTGAGAAGGGATGCAAAAACCAATATTTTTAAGTAAAATTTTTAAGTAATAGTAATAGAAACTAATTTGAGATGTCACAAAGCACTGCATATGTAATTGCTGATCAGCTTAGTAAATGTAACTAAGAGCAGCTCGCAGTAAATAATTGTTTCTGTGCTCTACCATTGCTTGGTGATTTTAGACATTTCTTAATCTCTTTGAGCTTCTATAAAATGGAGGTAATAAAATCTATATCGTAGATGCTGGCAAGTGACTCAGTTTTGCTTCCTACTAGAAAACTTTACATCCGTATATTCAGCCTATAGGAAATGCTTGTCCAGTTTTATTAAAATCTGAAAGCAGGGGAAGTATTTCTTCTGGCTTAAGTGTTCATCATGAATAGGTTCATTTATAAGTAGTAAATTCTCAGAGATAAGAATCACTTTGTTGACAATTTTAAATATAATACCAAAAACCACTTGGTTATAGCCTTCATTAAAATTAAATACATTAGACTACGGCCATGCCACCCTGAACGTGCCCAATCTCATCTGATCGCAGAAGCTAAGCAGTGTCAAGCCTGGTTAATACTTGGATGGGAGACCACTTCGGAATACCAGGTGCTATAGGCGTTAAAAAAATTAAATTAAATTAAATTAAATACAATATATTAAGTACATATAAGACTTTTTATTTCTTTTTCATTTTTGATTCGTACCTTTTTTATCAAAGGCCATCCTGTGAAATATTGAAATAAGATGAATATTTAATCATTAAAGTTAGTGAAAAAGAACAGCAATGAACCAGTATAGATACTACTTAAATGATCTAATAAAACTATATCCAGATAGTACTGAATGGGTCATCCATAAGGATGTTAAAATTATTCATAATGTATGCAGAATATGGGATGGGGGAAAAGAGAGCATAAGCCACGTGCAGTCTACCCTGAAAATTAGGGTGACCAAGAGACTGACAGATGCCTGCCTTGAAGAGTAGCAGAGGGTGATATGACTACATCGTATGGATTTAAAGGGCATTGTTCTTTTTCATAGGTGATTTCTCACTATCAGTGTAAAGAGCAGCGTGACGCCCACAGATTTGAGAAAATCAGCAACATTATTAAGCAGTTTAAGCTGAGCTGCAGGTAAGAGATCTTGTGTGATCTATTTCTCTCTAGAAAAAATTATTTGGGAAGAAATAAAATATCCAAGAAAGTTTTGAAAAAAAAGAAAGAAGGATAATTAACCCTACCAAATGCCAAGATTTACTATAAAACTACAGTAATTAAAATAGGGAGGTAATGATTTACAAATGGTACAAATAGAGAGTCTAGAAATGTCTAATCATGTAGTTTCAGCTTTGGTTAAATACAATTTAAATCTTAGCTTTATGAATATAAGAAGAAAGAATGGCTGATCATAATTTAGTAAAGATTTAAGAACCAAAATTCTTATCCTGATAAAACTTTGATACCCAGATAGTAGAATAGATAAAAGTCTTTTTTTCCTTTTATGCCACAGGATTAAAGGCACTTTGAGACTTTTTGACATGTTTAATGCTAACATTTTTAAGAAATATCAAATGACATTCAAATATTTACTTTGTTTTCAAAGAAATGGGATTATTTCTCGAATTTCAGTGTAACTAAGTTCAAAAGATATTGTTATTAATCTTGATGACAGAGAAATTTAAACTTAAAAATCTTAAATATTAGAGAAATCTTATATAGCATGATTTTTAACATGAATCTAACTCTAAGCCTGCTTCATTTCACAGTCAATATCAAGTTCTAACTCACTTCCTAAGGTCACTTGCTAAAAGATGTTAAATTCAGCTTTAGAGTTTCCTTGGAAAACAAATTGGAGTTTGTCATTAATTGTCTTAAAGAAGTGGTGAATTGAAGTATAATGCTATGAAAATGTTTAACACAAAAGATAAGGATTTCTTATATTGCTATTATTTTATGTTTTTTACTTTTCTCCTTTCTCCTATAGCAAGCTGGCTGCCTCTTTCCAGAGCATGGAAGTCAGGAACTCTAACTTTGCTGCTTTCATTGACATCTTTACATCCAACACTTATGTGATGGTTGTGATGTCTGATCCATCCATTCGTAAGTTTAAACTTATCCAACATAGGTTCAAAGCCACATAGTCTTTAAACTAATTGCCCTAGATGTAGTGCTTTATTAAATGTGAAAAACTGTTTTCTAGTGGAGATGGTCACGTAACAGTGTGAATGTACTTAATGCCACTGACCCGTACATTTAAAAATGGTTAAAATGGTTAATTTATTGTTATGTGTATTTTACAATAAAAAAACTACTTTAGTAATAGAAGGAAATAGTTTTTTATTTAAAATAATTATGTTATGTTTTCTTCATGAGAACTTCAAAAATCAAGTTACTAAATCTAGGGATTTTAAAGAAAAGAGAACCCAAATGCATGATTTATGCTCCATGTGTTGTAGATTTTTAAAAGACTAGTCAATCTAAGCTCTAAACTATTAAATGTTAAACTGTTTTATATATCAGTGTATGTTCCTAAGTACCGTATTCCCATATTTGTGTCATGAGCATAAAGGGAGATATTTGGTGCTTCTATGCCATAATAGCCATATACATCACAAACATTGAAATAAAGGTTTTAGCAGTATTTCCAGTATGTTCCCAGAAGTTTAAATTATCCCTGATCCACTAGCTTTTTCTACCTTAGAATAATACTAAAATATAACATAAGATAATGGGTTTTATACCATTAGTCCCAAACCAAAAGATTTTGAAAATTTATGTTGGAAATTTTGTGTTTAGAATATAGACACATATTCTAATTTTTCAGAAAATTTAAACCCCAGTTAAACTGGGGCCTCCTATTCCTGTATATTGTCTGTGACATACTGTATGGAGAGATTTGTTTCTCGTTTATTTGTTTTTTTCATTTGTTTTTACTAGTCAGACATTCCTTGGGCTGCCTGTACTTACTCTGTTGGGTATCTCCCCCACCCCTACCCTCAGCTTCTGCAGCTACTCTGATCAACATCCCCCATAGCCGGCAACACTCTG